CATGGCACTCCTGACCTCTTGTGCATCTAGAGCTGAAGTCTTGAGCCTGTCTTAGGAGTAGGATGTGAGTCATGCAAGTTGTGCTTAGTCTAGACGGTCACGGTTCAGAGAGAAAGGACAGAGTGACAGATTGGGGGAAAGGGGGATCTCTGCACGCCTGGGTGAAAGAAAGAAGGTTCCTGCCGAGGAGAAGATGCAAAACTATGGCAACAATAATAAGATCAGTGCCACCCCGGACTGGGGAGGTGGGGAGGAGCAGATGGAGGGTGGGAGGTGGGAGGTGAAGATGGAGGGTGCTTAGGGGAGTGGAGGGACACCATTCAGTGTGACCCCACAATGATGCCTGTCACCCACCAGACCCTCATCAGAACCCAGACTGTGACAATGATGTGTGTCAGTCCATCCTTGCGCCAAATGTGCCTGTGGGGGGTGGGGGGTGTTGGCAGAGGGAAGCTGTGTGGAGCTGGGGGTTGGGGAGCTTGTGCTTACTGTACAGCTTTGCTATGATCTGAAACTGTAATAAAACAAAGCCTATTAATTAAAAATAGGAGCAGGTGAAATTAATTTTAGTAATGATTTTAATTAACTCAATATATCCAGAGTATTAGTATGTCAATATGTAATCTACATAAAACTTATGATGAAATGTTTTGCATTCTTTTTGAGTATTAAGCCTTTGAAGTCGGTGTGAATTTTATGGTTATAGAGTCTTTCAGTTCAGATAAATTAACCACATTCCAGCTGCTGTGGCCATGAGTGTTCAGTGGCTACTGTGGTATGGAGTAGACCCAACCCTCTCTGAGACTCTGGGGACTGTCCCTGCCCTTCTCCTGCCCAGTCCTGTTGCCTCAGGCCCTGATGTTCCCCAGAGCCCACTCCAGCCCATTACCTGCTCTGTGTTGGTCAGGACTGGACTCCTACAATACATCAGCCTTGGCTCAAATGCCCACGCAGTGACGACAGCTTGATGATGTTATGTTCTAATTCTGGAACCTGTGCAAATGTTCCTGGCTCCATGGAGGGGACTTTGCAGATGGAGCTGAGGATTCCGGGGCAACTCATCTGGGTTGTTACTGCACTTTGGGTAATTGCCGGGGTGGAGGTGGGAGGGGTTTGCAATGGACGCAGGCAATGTGAGGATGGATGCCGAGCACTCAGATGGGCTTCTAAGATGAAGGCTTATCACAGTGGAGCCTCTAAGGGAAGGACAGCAAGGACCCTGACTCTGCCCCAGCTTTCATAAGAATCCCACACCCTGGCTTTAGCCCCAGAAGCCCATTTTGTACTTGTTTGTGCTTTTGATGGTAAGTCCACTGTGTTCAGGTGCTATACTGTGAAAACTTGTCATGGCAGCCACTGGACACTTACACCCTCCTGTGGAAGGCTGGTGGCTGCATTACTCCCTGCTCCAACCCTGGGACCCCACCTCACCCTGTAACTCCTTGTAGCAAACCCATAGGAAGGGTCTGGCCAGGGTAGGGAGATACTGGATGGAATGTAAGGGACTGGGAGAGTCAGTAGGTCAGGCTGTGCTAGGTGGGGCAAGGGACTGAGGACTAGCCAGTGCTGAGGATAACAAGGGGCTGAGGGTGTCTCTGTTTACATCCCTTTGACCCTTCCCAGGGTCCCCTGGACCTTTGGCTGCTGTCACTGCTCCACACCACAGTGACATCTGTGCTGTCACTCACCCTGTCTCCCCGCCTCTCGAACACCCTGCCTTTTTCTGTCTC